ATCAATATTATATATATATATAATATATTTTTAATATAAATATATTATAAACAAATATTCTAAACATTATATTTCTAAAACAAAATTTTTTTCCTTTAATACAAAAATAGAATTCATCCAAAAGTAATATAGTCCATCCAGTTGACAATTTTGAAAAAAGGATATATGAGATAGCGTCTTTCAAAGCGTCATGTGAACTATATATACATATGTATACACATACATAAAGAATCCTCAGAAATATCGTCAGAATAGGTATTTGCACGCGAGATATCTCATTCTTGGATAAAGAGGAGTTAATGTTGCATCATCGAATAGGTTCACCGACTCACTGGCATAGGTCTCGTTTTAGAAGCAATACTTCAAAGAAAATGTTTGTCAACAGCTTTCTAAACTGTTGCATCAGACGTGATCTGAATGTTCAATAGTGTTTACAATCGATCAATTGCATCCAAGATTATTCAGACAGAGAATAGCGGAGAAGTTTGGTAAGAAATCTAAATCCTGGTTTTTTGTTTGCTGGCTGTTCGTTCAGAGAAAACGAATATTGCGGATTCAAAGTATATATTTCGGTAAACAGTGGCGTATAAATATTCGCCTTTTTAATATTAAATCGAGTTCGAGATGGTATGGAGTGACAGGATAACAGAAATAGAACAAGTGGTTAGTTATTCCGATCTTTTGGTTGTCTAGCCATCGAAATAACTACGAATGCGACATGCAGTTTATTATCGTAACGAATAGCTTGTTGGTTAGGTAAATATTTATAGATGTATCGATTAAGTAATTAAGATTGTTAAAATAGTTTTTTAGTGGGTCACATCCATTGTGGTTGAGTTGAACTCTGAAATATTTGTGAATTGATTTTGTTTTTTTTAGTTAATGTTCTTTAAATACATTTAAATAAATTACATTATTTAAATGTATAATTATATTATAATAAATTATTCGTAGAAATTACAATGAATAGGAATTGTATGTATTCTTGATTACAAAATTATCGAACTATATGAGATATATTTTATAAAAGAATATATTATTTTTTAATTGTTTGTAAGAATATATGATAAAAACAATCTTTGTTTAATTTCAATTATTAGATATAAATAGTTTTTATTTTTAAATATAATAATTATAATGAATATCTTCTTAAAGAAAAAATATATTTATTGAAAAAAAATTAGATATTAAGTATTTTTTGGTTTTTCTGAAAAAGACAAAAATCAATTGGCTTTTTTTTTTACAAAATTTTTAATTATGTTAATAATAATAAATATTTATTATGCAATATCTTATTTAATCAATTTAAAAAAAATATTTTTTTCACTATTGCAATAATTTAAAGTAGTCTACAATAATAAACTTTCCCTTTTATTATTCTCGTTTTTATCATCAGTTTAATTTTTAAAATTTTTATTGAAATGAAACGATACAAGTTTTCACCTTTTAAAAAATATCGATGATATATCGAAGCAATTT